TGGTTCCGCTTGTTGTTCTTCCCGGTCGGTGAGAGCTGTGGTTTGGGTTGTCCGTGTCTCAAAGCCAAAACCTGGTCTTAGAAAGTTGGAAGGCTCGGCATCCTGTCTTGGCACAGGCAGGTAATGTTGAGTGAGATTCATCCAAGCCTGTTTGTAAAGAGACTTCAGAAGTTGATTCGTCTGCTCCTAAAATGATGAAATTTAGAATCATAGAATGTGTTGGGTTCAAAGAGACCTTTAAAGGTCATCCCCTGCAGGGAGCAGGGACATCGTCCCCCAGAGCAGGTTGCCCAGAGCCCCGTCCAGCCTGACCTTGGGTGTCTCCAGGGATGGAGCCGCCACCCCCTCCCTGGGCAACCCGGGCCAGGGTTTCACCACTCTCGGAGTAAAGAACTTCTTCCTATTTGCTGCTTGTGAGGGTGCCTGCCTCTCCCTGTTGACTGTGGGGGGATTCATTTGTGTAGTTCAAATGGGACGTGTAACTTCTAGAACATAGAGGGAGGTGTCTGTTGCACACGTAGGCGCCTGGATGGCAGCTCTTGCACAAGACTCGCTGACTCCTCACGTGGATTTTGGAGCATCTTGTCCAGGGCTTCCCCTTGCTGAAAACCCAGGGAGGACGTCAAAGGCGGGGAGATGCAGCGCGGTGCAGAATTGCTCCGGCTTGTCCACATCAGAGCCAGCGAGTCCGTGAGGCGTCTGCACTGCCTTCTGCTGGGGGGCTCTGCTTGGCGGTGGGGTGTCCAGCCATAAATCGTGGGTGCTCAGACACGAATCTTGCGTGCCCAGCAGAGTGTTGATGCGTTTGAACTAGAGGACGTGTAGAGCAGGGCTGAGCTTCGGGGCAGTTTGCAAACGATGCTGCCGACACCGCGGTTGCAGCGTCTTGCTTTGCTCTCGTACTGCTGCATCGTGGCGAGAGGTCATGGGGCGAGGAGCACGTGTCTGCAGTGTCGTAAGGGCTGGGAGGATGGATTGGGGTTTTTCTAGTAAGTTTTCCTATCACCTCAGGCAAAATGAGAAATCCCTCAAGGGAATGAGTATGTGCAGCAAGTCGGAAGGGGAGAGGAAAAGCCAAGTGGGAGCGCACGTTGCTGAGGCAGGCACTGGCTGTTTAAAGGAGCGTTTGGAGTAGGTGATGTGCTGCTAATTTAAATTAAAAAAAAAAAAGGAGGAAGTTAAGCAGCGTGTGTCACTTCGAGCTGCTTTGGAAATCTGATTTTACTGAGAAACCTGGCGTTGTGACAGATTTGAATAAAGACTTTAAAAACTTCTTGTGGAATGGAATTTTCAGCAAGTTCTTCTAGAAAATGTGCACGGGGGTAATTTGAAATGAGAAAGTGGGAAGTTTGGGCCGCTTTCCGCATCTATTCTGAGTTTATTTTGCCACGTGCTACAACTTTGAGTAATTTTGCCCTTGGCATTTTCAGTAAATCATTGTGATCTAAAAGAAAGACAGCAGCGCTCTCTACTGACTTTACACAGAGCGTTTCAAGTCTTCGCTGCTACTACGGTCGTTATTTTTAAATCCTAAAATGGTGTAAAAGTAATATAAAAGCCCGATCAAAGCGTGTCACTTGTAGGAATTCTGATATGTAAAATTAATTCGCATTCTGGAAGACATGGAACAGCGCAGAAACCCATTCTTGAAGGTGAGGGCAGCTGAAGCCTGGGCTGTGGAAGCAACCTGGTGCCTCTCGGGGGAAGTTTTCGCGTGAGCTGGAGGGTCTGTTTGATGCGAAGTTTTTTCAGTTTGGTTTTGATGGTGAATCACCTCCTCAAATTCACCAAAACCGTTGGTGAAACGTCAGTCCCCACTCACAGCTCGTGTGGCCAAACTGGAGGATTTTCTGCCAGTATTTTGGGATGCCAAGGGCTGCTTTTTTCATATAAGAACCACAAACCCCGTCAGTACCTTTCACAATATCTTTTAGATGGCAGGAGTGTGATTTTTTTGTACTTGTTTAACAACCAAATTCCCCAGTTGCCCTCCGACTTTGTTACGGTATACGCGTAAGCCACAGTCTGGGCGACGTGTCGGCTGGGATTTTGAGACCTGTAAAGGAAACAAGGGTTCCCAAGGAGGAAATTTCGGCTGGGGGCTTGTGTTCTGCCTGTCCAGCAGCTTTCGGTGTCGGTGTGTGCTGTGCGCTGCCTGTGCCTTTCCAGTTGCAAGGAAATAGAAATGAGTTTAAATGTTCCTTGCTAGAACACAGAGAGAGAGACACGATTTTTTTCTTACAGATACCTGGAAAAATGCCACGAAGGTGCAGTGTTCCAGTCAGAAGGATTTACTTGACCTGTTTTGAGGCTGAGCAGGTGGTTTTTCATTTGCTGAGCATGATGCTTTGCTTTGCCTCCCCCCGAGTCGTGGTGCTCCTGAATTTAGTCAGGACAGAACAAAACTCCCTCAGATGATGCCCAATGACTTTGTCCAGACCCTGTGCTGCTTTGTCTCCTAGAAATCTCTGTGTGCAAATCTCTTGTCCCTCGAGCACAGGTAAGTTGTCGTTCCCTGTACGCGTAAAGCCGTGCTCACATGTTGTGACGGGTTGGGTGCTTGCCTGCTTTTGGTTTTGGCAACTCCAGATTGCCGTTCCCTGATGAGTAGCAGATGCAACTGGGGTGTAGATGTTCCTCCTGGCAGCAGATTATTGAAAATACAAGTGGCTTTGGGATGGTACCACCCCAAGGACATCAGCTGGGACAGGGGATGCCATGCCACTTCACTCAGGCATTCAGTAAATCACTTCTTGACCTTTCCCACGTGTCTGTCCCACGACACTTTTTTTCTAAAAAAACCTTAATGGCACAACACCCTTGCTACTGATTTCACAAATCAAAACTTCTCTGCTAGAACATACCTCACCAGCCACTAAGGAGATGTTACCAGCTCTCAATAAAGCACAGGACTCGCGGCTCCTGAGGCAGAGCTGTGTGTGCTCCACCAGCTCCAGGTTTATTCCTGACACACAGCATTTGATTTCACCAGTAACACTTTGTTCTTCCAGTTGCAGCGAGTTTGAGGATGCGCTGTTCTAAGTGGTTACTAGGGGGACTGCAGCCTTTGGAGGCCGGGGAAAGATCTTGATGCTCTGCAGAAGGCAGAGCCCCGTGACGTGAGTAATCGCCCTGAGACTCATCCTGCACCCCACCATTGGCTTAGGAAACCTCGGCCGTGGACATTCAGCCTTGTCTTTTATTGCAGGATTGAGCTTCTATGCTGTAACGTCTGGCGCTCGTGAACGAGAGGGGGATAGATGCAAAAAGCAGGTTTAATGCCTTTTGGCATGACTGGACTCCCCCCATGCAGCCGGTGAGGAGCGCGGCCACTTGCAGGCACCGCTTACTGCCCGTCAGGTGGGCATCGAGACAGGTCTGATAAATTGCCCTGGGAATCCTGCCCGGTTGGGTGACTCCCTTGGAAGAACATGCTCTGAAAGCGTCTGTTTCTCCATCTGTAGTTCGGGGGTTGTAGATAACCGCTGCGGGCACGTCTGCGAAGGGGCGAGCGGGGCTCGGGTGCCTGTCCCCGG